AATTAACCATTCAACCGTGCATTGAATACTGTTGCCATATCTGGTCTGGTGCTCTTTCTGTACAGTTAAATTCCTTTTATATAACCCAAAGAAGGATCTGTAATGTTATCAAACCTGACCAGGCATCTTGACTTCACATAAGAAAGAAGAAGTTTGAAGAATATCAACTATTTTCTTAATGCCTCCGAAACAAAACTGCTTTCATTTAATCACCACAGAGATACTTTTCAGTCTGCCATCAGAATGGCTGATGCTGAACTACGGCTTCTTGGTCTCCCATTTCCGCTGACATGATGTGGAGTAATTGTATCAAAACAATTCCTTCGTCAATTCACTATCACATCAGCCAGTTATGTGCCATGCGTGATACACGCTTAGGCGATCATGTAACTTTCGATACATGATTGACGAGGAAGATTTTTTTCCTGCAGTAGATTGTCATTTCTTTCTGCAGTAGACCAGTTGCTATCCAAGACTATAGAACCCGGTCTGTCCTGCTATTTACCCATAGCTGGGAGGAGAAGAATTGGATTCATACCTTTCCCAAGGGTATTAGAACGTAAGTGAATGTAATGGAATTTAACTGGAATTCGAACTCTGCTCTCTCATTCCTCATTCCAATTCCAATCCATTACTCCACTGTGCCTCTCCATTACTCCACCGTGCCTCTCTCACTGTCACATACCATATTTATAAATCTACCATTCGTCAGTGCATTGAATACTGCTGCCATATCTGATCTGGTGGTCCTGCTGTACATCTTGAGATTCTTGACAAAATCCAAAGAAAGATCTGTATAGTGGTTAATCCTGACATGTTATCTCGACTTCAGTCACTTTCTCACCGACGTGACCTAGCTTCTCTGTCTTTTCTAGAAATATTTTCATGGCAACTGCTCTGACGAGCATCTTTTCATGGTAACCCCGACTAAATGAATGGGCTGCTGAAAGCTTGGATAGGAGCAAAAAATATGTATCAATATTGTGATTTTCTTTCTTCGTTTAATGATAATGCTATTAAGCTTATCAAACGATATGATACTTGTCTATATTATTTAATGAAACATACATCAATGAAAAAATGATGCCTAAATACACACAATTTGAATTACACGACCCAGCAGACCACAAAACTATCAACACTTGGAATTATAAATGTAGCCTTGTGAAAAGGCAAATTGAAATAGCCACTTAATATATTGTAATGTAATTGTCAGCTTTGATAATGGCTTATGTGAGCCGAAAGCTTAGATAGGATTAAAAAATATGTATCAATATTGTGATTTTTTTTTTATGTGAGAATTTACATAAAATAAATAGACAACACTTGTATATATTATTTAATGAAACATGCATCAATGAAAATGCTGCCTAAATACACACAAATATATATATATATATATATATATATATATATATATATATATATATATATATATATAATGTTAGTGGTAAATATACACATACATATGCAAAATATATAAATATATATACATACATACATACATACACATACATATATATTTGTATAAAAAAATGATTCCAAGAGAATAGAATCCAGGTAGAACTCAATGTCCATGACAGAGTAAGGATATAATTAAAAGGCTTAAACACTAATATTCCATGGTCATAATTTATTCCATTGGAATCGTAAATAAGATCCAATTCATCAGACCTACAAATTCAAAAAGAAAACAGAAAAAATAACTCCAGGAATAAAAAAAACCCCAAAAAACTTTGTTTTTTCTGTTTTCTTTTTGAATTTGTAGGTCTGATGAATTGGATCGTATTTACGATTCCAATGGAATAGATTATGACCATGGAATATTAGTGTTTAAGCCTTTTTTATTATCTATCTATCTATCTATCTATCTATCTATCTATATATATATATATGCTTGTGTGGGGGCATAATTTAAGTGTATATGTGTATATGGATTTAATAATTAGTACTTTTCATTCCTTCTTTGGTTTAATTAACACCCAGGATGCTGAAACTATTTAACTCATTAGTGCATGATATCTAATTTTTAGGGGGTGTTTAACTAAAAGCAAAGTAGATTTGGCAAAAAGAACTAAAATTTCAACGGAGACTTGTAATGATAAGCTATTATTATTATTATTATTATTATTATTATTATTATTATTATTTACTTTCATTTCTGTTGTATACTCATTTCCTTCCGGCTCCCAACCCGAGACCTAAGGTTAGAAATGGTATTATTATTATTATTATTATTATTATTATTCGATATATGATAAAAATCCTTCAAGAAGAGAAAGTTCTTCTGGCTGGAAGTGAGCTAGTTCATTTGCTTTGAAAAACGTGTGTAACCTTCAATTTTTAAGGGGTTCTTCTTTCGGTGTTCCAAAACTTTTGTCTTATGGTGTATATATATATATATATATATATATATATATATATATATATATATATATATATATATATATTATTGAGTGTTGGATTTTCCTTTTCCATTATTAAGGCTTCCATTGCTTTTAAACTTTTCTACATGTGGGTGAGGTTAGTATGCTTGTATTTTCTACTAATACATTTTGGGTGGATTCTGGTAGGTTTGTGTGTTTGTTTAAATGACTTCTATTGAAGCAGGATAGGTGAGACGTAAGTCGTCTGGATAGGCATGTGTCAATCTCATAAATAAATCAGTCATTTATGTTTATTTATATATATATATATATATATATATATATATATATATATATATATATATATATATATATATATATATATAGGATGGGAATGGGCTTCCAAAGACGGTCAGCACATTATGGCCGTGTTTATAATTAATGTTATTCAGCTTTGGCTTTTTCTTTTTTTTATTATTAATGCCTGCATTCTTTTTTATCCTTTTTTATATGCGAATAAGGCTATTGTAGTTGCATTTTCTACGTGTATGTTGCATAATATATATGCGATGAGAACGAAAGTAATATATAAATTCCAATGTCACAGCATTAATCCAAAAGGGAGCTTGATACCGATAGTGGAGCGATAATTATTTATTCATTATAATTTTATCATATAGACAAAACCATTTTACTCGCTACAAAAATGCAACTTGGTTTCAGTGCATTTCAGCTGCATTTGAGGCGAAGTACAGTTGAAATGCACTAAAACCAAGTTGCATCTTAGTAGTGAGTAAAATGGTTTTGTCTATATGATAAAATTATAATATATATATATATATATATATATATATATATATATATATATATATATATATATATATATGATATATGATATACAGATCTACATATCAGATTAATAGTGAGTAATTAACTGACAGAATATATAAAACTTGTACATCACGTGTTTCATCTCACGGAATATTTCTTCAGACAAATAATGATGTTATCAACGGGGATATAGGGAGGAAGGAATGAAAAAAATACACCGTTTACGCTTTTACATCGGAAATGGTTGAAGATAAAAGAACGTCTAGCTTTAAATTTAGATTTTTTTCGCGCCCGATGTACCAGGATGCATTAATTTAGCCGGCCTCATACAGCTTTCTAACGTTTTTTTGATCTCCATTGAAGAGTGTGGCTCTAATCGAAAGAGAAATTATTTTATGAAAAAAATGATGAAAACCCTCTAAAATATATGAAGATATCAATGAAGAATGACTAAACCTGATATATTGTCCCTATGACAAGAATAGTCTAGAAATATAGTAAAAACTGTCATCTCAGAGGAAAGAGAATAAAATCCAAGCAACTTAAAACTGATATCTAAAAATAGCTGAATATCTAAGAGACTTGAGGAAGTAGAAACGTGATACTTTAGAAAACTTCCGAAAATACCATGGGCTGAAGATGAGAACAACGAGGAAATTTTAGGGCAAAGGGAAACAAACGATTTTTTTAAATCATTTCACCCAAAGTAAGGTACAAACAACTAACACGCAGTGGCCTACTACGTTATAGTGAATTATGTTTTTTTTTTATCACAGTAGAATTGCGGTCGATCTCGTTAGAGTGACATAAAAACTACTCTGATCAAAGGAGAAAATAATTCACAATGACCTAAATATCTGGAGAGTGCTTTAATCGAAAGGTCATCTACAGTAAACTTGCGCCCTGGATCTTACAACATTTCACCATTCCTGGCAGATCTGCTAATATAATATGGAATAACTAAGATTTATCAAGAAAAATACCCTAAATGGATTCAGCTCGCTACAACCATTTTTTGTTTAATATTTCCAGCACCCCTCTGTCGTCCGCATATGTAGTCCTACCAACATATCAAATTTAGGCCGATGAAGTCCTGAAGGACGAAGCGCGTCTCAAGTAAACTTTTCCCTTATGTCATACAATTTTCTCCAACACTGTTCATATTTAACAGCCCCCCCCCACACACACACAACACACGACCGATGTATGTGGAACAAGGCCGAGTTTACCGTGGGTTCTCCGAACCCGTAGGCTCGGCCAAAAAATATTAACTTAGAACCCGCATAAACGTGTTCAGGGCCTGTCTACCTCCCCGGACGAAACTTTGGCCTTCCGCAAAGCCACGTCAGGGTTCTTCTCTGCTCAAGGCAGAGAGTTCGACAGTAACGGACAGTCTATATCACTGTTTCAATTTCCCCAATACTGTTCTTGTATATAAAAATATATATCGCTCTATCTGTTTATGCAACAGCATTATTTAGTAAGCCGCTACCGTGAGTGGCTCCTTGGTCTGTATTAAGTGAACACTAGTAAAAAAATAAAAAATAAAAACTCAAAATACTAATTTACCTAATTGCTACTCACAAAATTTACCAGTCTGGGCGAACCGCCTCCTCTTGTTTAGGCAATGCATTCGGTCCACTAAACGAGACATGGAGAGATTATGTTTTGTGAAAGATCCAAGTAGACTGTGAATGGGACGGGGAAGAGTCGATGATGTGGGTGGGCGATATTTGCCAATGATGGTGGTCTGCTTTTTTGACTGCAGGTCAGACGAAGCAATAGAAACGAGGGAGTGTTAACCTACGGTACGATGGAAGGAAATATAAAAATGGGAGGCGTGCATTTAACTGTGACAGGAAGAGAAAACTGTTAGGGAAGCGATTGTCAATCACACGGGGATTAACGCGATTGTGAAGTGATGTGATTTTAAAAAAAAAAAACCCAGCTGGAGAATTAAAATTTAAGAGTAAAGTATAAAAGAAAGAATATGTAGAGTTTCAACCGCCACTAATGACTTCTTTATTTAGGGAAGAGTTGTTTAGTTTAAATATATAATTCTTTCGTTTTTCACGCGAAAGAAAAAATGTTCACTTTTTGTTCTTTTCTTTAGTTTTATACTTTTTAAATAGATAAATTTGATAGATTTAATAGATAATAAATTCTATCATTCTTAAATAGATTTGTTTAGATAATTCTCATATATATATAGAGTCAGTGCCATTAAGCCGCGCACCAATAAACCACGATGTCACGTAAACTGCGCATGCGCGACGGACCCTAAATTTTTCTGTCATGTTCATATTAGAAGCATTAATATCAGTAGATTCTAATTTGAACCAAATTCAAAGTTGATTGTGATTGTGATTTTTTTATTATTATTAGTGCATTACAATACAATGTATTGCAATGTTTTTATTCAAAATCTTATTACAACTATAAAAAAATAAATTTTATTTTTTTCTTGTTAAAATCTCGTACGTACGAGATTTCCGCCATGTTTCACTGTCATCGATGATGCATCTAGTGACATGGCGCTTTATAACTGGAATCATTTTAGGCTGTCGTCTTTCAAATTTATTTAGATTAGTGCAGATTTTTATGTGAAATTAAAGGGTAGTTTTAAGAAATGCTTTTCGAAACTGCTAATATTACCCATTTTCGCAGGATAACTCAATGGTCTTTGTTTTGGTGGTCTAACCTAGCAATCCTGACATCGCGGCTCATTTTTTATCTAAACCGCGGATAGAAATTTTGTACCCCAACTACCGCGGTTTATCGGCGCCGACTTGTATTAGGATCAAATATACATCAAATATGAATCGGAATCCGACAGAATGATAAGATAAAAAACACATATGTAACGTTTATCACTCTAACTTGTTTCACTTTTATAAAAGCTTTATCAGAGATTGAGAAACGGAGAAAAAGACAGAAATTCTGGTAGTTTCACTTTTTGTTTGATTTTCATTGGTCAATCCTGTATCGCGTGCATTAAAACCGTAAATATTGCTATATGTAAGATTGTAAATGTCTAGTCTTTCTATGAGAACATCAGATGATAATGTGCAGTCGTAATTGTGTGTGTGTGTAGGTCTAGTAGAAGTTCTGGTGTCTTCATTTTTTTGTTGTTTGATTTTCATTGGTCAGTCGTGTATTGCCTGCATTAAAACCGTAAATATTGCTATATTCATGTAAAATAAATAATAATAAAATAATAATTTATGTAAAATAAATAATAATAAAATAATAATAAAATGTTTGTAAAATCCTAGTCTGTCAATGAGGACATCAAATAATAATGCGCATTCGTAATTATGTGTGTAGTGTGTGTATGTCGAGTAGGAGAAGTTCTGGTGTTTCCATTTTTTTGTTGTTTGATTTTCATTGGTCAATCGGGTATCGCGTGCATTAAAGCCATACATATTGCTATATGCATATAAGTTTATAAAATATTCTAGTTTGTCTACTCTCTCTCTCTCTCTCTCTCTCTCTCTCTCTCTCTCTCCCTCCCTCCGTGTGTGTGTCTAGTAGAAGAAATTCTGGTATTTTTCTTTATCAAACAACACAAAAATGAAAATGCCAGAATTTCTCTCACTACACCTGCCCATAAACTGACATTCCACTCGGGTCTTAGCGAAACAAACACATGTCATGTTAACGAAACGTGTCGTATAAAAGCTTTTTTTTTTTATTATTTTTCTTTTCTCTCATTATCTCCGCTTTTTTTAAAGCAAAGCTAGAGAGCTAAGTCTACCCTGTTATTACCTTTTAGCTGGAAGGAGAACAGACAGATTCATGAATATTTGTGTAAAAAGCGACAGCAAGCGGCTTGGTTGGTATTTGAATTCGACTCACCAATTTCACTTTCTGGGCCGATAATCGCTACGCATAAGCACACATAATATTAAGTACAGAACAAAAAGACGCCATGACGGTATGTTTAAATGAATATGCCTATAAAATTCTGCTGATTGTAAAATTATAGATTGATTTTAAGCTGATACGCTTGAATTACTATTTATAATTAGAATATAAAGAAATTGAACACAGAATAGTTTGAGATTGGTGTAGTTTCGCACAGCCCCTCAAGTTGCTACATAACGAAAATATTAACTTAGATTCATGTCCGGCAGCTCGAGACATTCATATGGACGCCATAGATAGTACCAATCTACTGTCAACTATATACAACCGTTTTTAGATGTACTACAAAAAGTATAAAAAATATAAATGCGGCGTCTATTTCAATTACGAGTAACCAATAAATATAACCTTTGAGTCAATATATATATATATATATATATATATATATATATATATATATATATATATGTGTGTGTGTGTGTGTGTGTGTGTGTGTACTAGAGTTCAAAAGTTTGCGGACACACTTGGTATTTTTTTTAAAAATTGTCCCCAAATATGTTTTTGTACTTTGTAATAGTTGTTTTGTACCTCTATAAGAGAAAATTATTAGACATGGTTAAAAAAGCGAGACATGATTTTTTTTTTATTCGAAATCTTACAAAAAAAAAACGCATTTTATGATTAAATTTCGCTCTCGTCAAAATATCCTCTTTTAGCCTTGATTATTGCAGCCCAATTTTTGGGGGGAATTTGTTGCAAAAGTTTCTCAAAGTATAGGTTTGATATTTGATTCGATTCTGTCTCAATGACTCTAAGAGCTCTTTTTCATTTTTTTCATTTTTTCTGTCAAGTTCATCCAATACTAATTCTGGGGATGGCTTCAAATGTATGAACTGTACTGAATACCGTAGTGATACAGTTCTAAAGTTTGAAGCCTCTCTCAGAATTAACATCGGGTGAATCTGACAGAAGAATGAAAAAAAGTAAATACAGCTCTTAGAGTCACTAAAACAGAATGGAGTCAAGCATCAAACTTGTAATTTGAGAAACTTATACAACGAATTCCAAAAATTTGTGCTGCAGGAATCAAGACTAAAGGAGGATATTTTGATGAGAGCAAAATTTAATCATGAAATGCCTTTTTTCTTTTTGTCTCATCATGTCTCACTTTTTATTCATGTATAATCATTTTCTCTTTTATATATATATATATATATATATATATATATTGAATAATAAAAAAAATATTAAAAATTAAAATCTTCAGACACACTGGGTTGTAGATTAATATTCTTTCGTGTTTTTTATTATTATTTCATTTTGATTCACCGACTAGTTTCGGCCAAAATGGCCATCATCAGGAGAAGAAATATTTCTTCTTACAACTTTTTAAAAATAATGAAATATCTTATAAAGACTTTCTATTTTTAGAACATTTTAACAGATGAACTTACACACACACACACACACACATATATATATGTGTGTATATATATATATATATATATATATGTGTGTGTGTGTGTGTAAGTTCATCTGATAAAATATTCTAAAAATAGAAAGTCTTTATAAGATATTTCATTATTCTTAAAAATTCTAAGTTAATTAAATATGTAAATTTTACGGCATGTAAGATCTAGCAGATATATATTAATGTTTCATTGATTGTTTCATTTTCTACGGTTTATCAACCCTTTGCAGCTTATTTAAAGCCAGAAGATATTTTTAGATTGTAAGATTTTTCTTCTTTGAATAATACGGGTTTAGTGATACACGTCTTACTAATTAACCCATAGATGGGGGAAGAAGAAGTGGATTTATACCTAATCAGAATTTAATAAACAAACAAGAAATCGTAATGTGAATAAAAAGTGGGGGATCAATTCTATATTAGAATCATTATATAAACTGATCCCTCAGTTTCTTATCACTGTATTTTCTCTAAACTTGATTCAAGAGAATGTAAATAAATGTAAAAGATACGCCTGTGCAGCTAACCAGTATTTAATTGTTTGATTGACGGATTCATTTTTTACGGCTTATCAACCCTTTTCAGGTTATTTAATGCCAGAATTTTTTTTTAAAACTTTGCCCCTCCAAGGAAGGTCGAAGTGCCATTAGCACGCAAGGGGATACAGAAAGTGGGAGCAAGAGTAAAGAGGCATGAAAGAGGAAAGGATGAAGAGAAAGCGGGGAATTAGATCAAGGCATCTGAAGATGTCGATTGACATTGCATTTGAATAGTTTGAGATTATAGCAAGTAAGAGGAAGGGAGTTCCACGGGAAGTGAACACATGAAGCTATCGAGGGTAGAAGAGATGGCTACCTTTAACCATTTCGACAGTGAAAGGGTTGGACTGAGATGCCGACCTAGTGGCACGTTTAAATTCATGCAGTTTGGGAACTAGTGAAAATAGCTCGTCGGAGCAGTTAGCGTGAATGTATTTGTAGGAAAGACAGGGGGGAGGCGACGGCACGTCTGTGAAAGAGCGACTGTAAACGAGATGCCAGAACAGGGCCAATTACATTGCATATCCGTCTCTGGATTTTGTCGAGGACCCTAAGACGAAGAGCGGGGATTCCAGACAATATATGGTAGCAATATTCCATGCAAGGGTGAATGGTTGATTTATAGACTCGGGCGAGAAAAACTTTCTGGCGCGAAACAGAGAACCAGCTTCACAACTTTCTTTGCGGTAGATTCAATATAATTGTTCCATAAGGATAATAATGATTGAGTGATACAAGTGTTATTAACCCATAGCTGGTGGAAGATGAGGTGAATTCCTACCTTTCCCAGGGCATTTTCGCGTAAGTGCACACAAGGAAAGCAAGTGACCATGTGAAATTGGAACTTGGCTCTCCGATTAACAATTCCGAGCCATGATCCATTACAACAATCGCACATCTAAGTTTACAGTTATTCCAAAGCGTTCACTTATCTAGTTACTGACAGGCTCGACGTTGCTTAACCGGTGTTTCAAGCCTATATGTTAATGATATACAACAGAATGAACAGCATTATTTGTAATTGGTTTTATGGTCAGTTATGTGCTATGCGTGATACATGACCGACGAGGCAGTTTTTTTCCCCCGCTGTAGGTTGCCATTTCTTTCTACGGTAGACCAGTTGCCATTCAAGAACCCGGTCTCCCCTACTATTTACCCTTAGCTGGGAAGAGAAGAAGAGGATTCATACCTTTCCCAAGTGTATTAGTACGTAAGTGAATGTAATGGATTCGGCTGGAATTCGAACTCGGCTCAATTCGAGCTGTTATCCATTACTCCACCGTGCCTCTTCATGGTACTTGATTGTGATTATGGTAATGAATTTAATGACTTTAAACTAGGTATCTCCGTTTTTTCGTGGGAAACCAGCATAGCGTAATGAAAAAGGCCACAAATGTAACGAAAATACAGTTTTATCGTCAAAATATTTATGTTATTATTAAGATGAATGACCAAAGTATTTTTTAATTATTTTTTGAAATTTTTTAATCCTTTCTAACACGTTCGAAATTTTGGTTAAAGTCTTCTTTTGTTTATGTCATCGCGGGGACATGAAAATAAGATTGGTTTTTTTTTGCGCTTTTTTTCCGTTGAAAACACAATGATTTTGAAATTCTTGTAAAAATAAAGTAATTATCCGATTTTAATGAAATTTTCAGGACTTATTCTCAAATGAATGAAATTATTTTTGTAAATTGAGATTTTCGTAAAAAATTTTTTTTAAATATGTTACCCCCACCACTTACTTAATTTCATGAAATTTCGCACAAAACCTTTCTATTTCCTGATTTATTTATTTTTTTTTGTTAAAAGTAGAGTCTTTGGAGGCTGTAAATCACGTACTTTTTTTTTCAAATTTGAGCTATCTCACTGAAAATCTTCTCTGAATTGAAAAATAATGAATGAAATAAAACTATGACTTAATTAGAAAAGCTTTTAATTGCTTTTGTAAATAACTAATATTAAGAACATTATTTTCTGAGGAAATAAAAAAAAACATTTTAATGAAGTTTTACAAGAATTTTTTCATTTTTTGTAAAATTTTAATTATAATAATTTATAATAGTTTAGAATCGTGTACAATTTTATACTGGGCTAATTCCTGGATGTGATATAATTATTAAGTGGAAACGAAATTTACAAATCCAAAATTGCAAAGATTAATAAACGATGTTGTATCATTCTATTTTTAAAATAATTTTTTATTTTGTATTTTTTTACTTAATACTTTCCTTATTTCCATGTATGGTAGTCTGAAATTGCCATTATTATGAAAAGGTCACGTGATCTAAGAGTTTTATCCCTTTATTCTAATAAATAAACATAACAGTAAAACTAAAAAACAAAAAAGCGTTCACTCAGATTTCTAAAAATTGTCATTTATGGTCATCCGTAGTAGCTGTCATTGCTTCGTTAATCAAGAGTCCATCAAACGTTTGATCAGATGAAAAGGGACTAATCGTTAATAATTGGTTGTATTTGTATATTACTTTTTTATGCCATAATTAAGTAATATTTCTTTCAAATCAGATTAATTTAACTTTACATTTTTTAATTTTACTAAAATAACTTGTCAGAAATTTTTTAAATATTTTTAAAACCGATAAATTTTTGTTTGTTTACTAATTTCTTAAAATTAAGAAAATGGCCGCTTTTAAGAAAATTTAAGAAATCGAAATTAAATTTGACCTCCCAATGTATATAGTTTCTATCTTAAATACACCAGAATTGTTTACTTAATGGAAATAATAAATTTAATTATTAAACTTTCAATTAAAGCTAAAATGAAATCTTTAAGAATGTTTTTCGTTTAAAAAAATCATTTTAAACTTAGGTATCGAAAATTTATGCCGAAAAAGTGAAGGTCCCTACTTTAAACAACACCGTCAAAATATAAGAACATCAGTGGAACTTGAAGTCCCAAGAACAATTGGCTTCTCAAAGTTCGTCTTTTACTCATATTTCGGTATTTACTGCTTCAGTCATTCTGAAGCATGATTAGTGTTATCTCTCGTTTCAATTCGTGCTCTTCCTTGGAATACCTATTTGAATACTTCAGTATTTATATTATGAGGAAGAATCAGGACATTATCTCAAGAGGGAAGGCATATCAAAATAACAGAACGCAAAGAGCGGCTGCCTTTAGTACAAGCAAACAGAAAGAAAGAAAAAAAAAACTTACAGAAAGGAGGCCAAAGCAGAAAATAAAACAAAGAAAGTATTTCTGGTTTATCGTGTTTTCTTTTTTCATCTTGATAAAAGATTGGGACTTGATGGCGTGCGCAAGTGTTTGCTTTGCTCTGCGCATGTCAAGTAAAAATCCCGTGTGTGTGTCACTAGATTTAAAAAAAAGAAAGAAAAAAAAGAAGGTTAATAAAACTTTTGAGGGAATGCAAAGGAATTAGACATACACATGATGTGCGCTTTATGACAAGTGTTTCAGGCTTCGAAGCAAGCCCGGAAGATACATTCAATTCCTAGAAACATAAGTCTCAATAGTGATGCGTTTTATCGCTCGAGTACCAACTATTTATATATATGAAATGTAGATAGGAGTAATATATGAATATATGTATGTTATATAAAAGTCATACACATTAGCAGTACATACGCTAATTTTATATCTCATGTATGATGCGACCCTCTTAAAATTAGCTTCAAAATTAGTTCTTCAAAATTCGCATCATACGCGAGCATATACTGTACTGTTATTTTTATAACGATATTTTTTTAATCTGACATGATTTCTTATCACTATAAACGTTATTTTAGCGGATGCATGTGTGAGATGACATCCCTGTTCTTGTACTTAAACAGTGAAATTAATACCAACTGGCCTAGATCGAGTGGATCTCTCAATCGAGGCACGTCGATATTTAATTAAAAGAATACTACAGAATACTAAAAAAAATATATGTTCTATTTTTCCAGAAATATCAGTAGCCTAGATCGTAGTCGGTTGATACTGATGAAAATATTACTTTCACTATTTATGGAAGATTTGATTTGATTTATTCGTTTTTGACGAATTATCAACCTTTGCAAGTTATTTAAAGCCAATTTTTTTAGACTTTAAGAATTGTTTTCGTTGTTTTATTTTAGATAATAATAGTTTTAGTGATAAACTATTAATATTTTACCCATAGCTGGGAGAAGAGGTGGAGTGGAGCAAGGCAATAAAGCCACTAAGACGCAAGGTGGTTACTGGGTGTTAAAGAATATGGTAAACTAAACTACTCTTAAGTAAAGAGGACAGTACAAGAAGAAGAATTGCATTTAACCTTTTGAAAATCAAAGTTGACTAGGAAGCAAAAAATCATTACCCGAGGAAAAATGGGAAATAAAAAACATTAAAACAAGGCGAAAACAATCGATCAGTGTTTAAGCTCCAACTTAAAAACAAAACACAAAAAACAAAACGAGTAAAAAGGGTAAAAGGCAACTACGTAAAGTACTCAATGCACTAAGTAGAGCGATAACCTAAAGCAAGGGTCGGCAACCTCCGGCCCGCGAAGGCATTTTGAACGGCCCGCAAGCCTGATTACCAATGACTCTCTTTTTAACATGAGAGACGAGGCTTTCGAATTAGACTATCTGCCAGTTATCTTTCATGAGACTTATTTTACCAAGTTGCTTTGCCTACGTTTAATGTCAAATAATGGATACATATTTGTTATGACCTTTGGCTACATTAAAAGATAACAGAAGCGAAAGGGACGATAAAGTGAAAGAGGCCAGGAAAGGACTGACATGCGAGGTAGCAGAAATCTAAAGACAGTTAAACATACGCGCATTATACATACATGCCTCATGAATGTGTGGATGATACCGCATGTGTACGTACGTAAGTGTATATGTTTGCAACTATTTGTACTCGTATGTATGGATATATGTGCTTTGTTTTTGTTTGATGTGTGTGTGTGTGTGGTTCGTTTGTGGAACAATTTCCAATAACAGTTTCAAAACTACACGTCATAATTTCATCCATTTCACTTCGGTTGATTTTTTTCACTTTGAAGTATTTTCACGTTCCTTGAGGAAAAGTAATTTTTGTTAGGTGTTTTTTTTTTAATTTTAGATTTTCTTTTGTTTTTCTGATTTCTCAATGTTTATTTTCATTATGGTTTTAAATATTTAGGTTGACAGGGGTCTGCATATGTAATTTTCCTTAATTTTTCATTAATGGCCATCGTCCGGCCCGCGACCCGTCATTATAACACGATCCGGCCCGCGGGGGTCGAATGAGTTTCCGACTCCTGGCCTAAAGTAATCCTAAGGAACCAGGCAAACATGCCTAGGTTTCATCTAAACGGATCTTCAGGGTAAAGCTGGATTTACCCTGAAGATCCGTTAATAGAGTGAAAGAGGTATTAAATGTAAAATCAGTCGGTTTTCGATCCCGGTTTGAGGCAATCGGATATCTAGTCACATTGCGAAACAGCAAAACAGTCTGTCTGTGGATGACAAAAGAAAGAAAGACGGGAAGAGAGTGGGAGGAGGAGAGAGAGTGCGAGGAGGAGAGAACGAAGGCAAAGATTTATTTTATTCGGCACTGAAAACCGAACTGACGATCAGATTGTTCACTTAATAGTCTTGCATTAGAAATGTATGAATTCACATCCACTATGACTCGGCACGGTGAGAAAAACGTCTCGTCGTTGGTTTGTTACGAAGTTTTCCGGAGACTTGATTAGGCAAAAAAAAGTAAGCAGCAATGAGGATGATTTCGTCACATGAGAAGAAAGATGCTGTCTTTAAAGCTAGTGGACGTATCGTCATCCTTTCAGAACTTGGTCGGACGAATGAACCCAT